AGACTCCAAGTGAAGGGCGGGGTATAAATCCAATCTCTTCTTCTTCTTCTTCTTCTTCTTCTACCTTTGAGGCAAAAGGGAAGAGTGAGCCCGGAGCAGCGCTAGTGGAAAATCACCCAGGGTGTTTGTGGGAAGATTTATAAACTTTTTTTCAACCACAAAATAGAAATGGGATTTTTCTCTCTCTCTCTCAGTGTATCTCTTTCTCTCACTTTTTTTGCAAGCTGTGCCTTCCCTTATGGCAGCCCAATGTTCCCATTTCTGAAAATTTACGGATCTAACAATTTATTTGATACTGACTACCAGATTTTTTGATTCCTGCATGCCATCTGAAAACGTAAATCAAATTTCCAGACCAACAAGACTGAAATAATTGAACTTCAGGCATGATCCTACTGGAGTTGCTACTGAACGTTCACCAAAGTGAAACTCGAATTAAATATCTAAGGAGAAAAAAAACACCCAGTGTCAAGTATAGGCTAATGGGGACTGAACTTGCTGAGACTGAAATGGAATGGAAACGAAAATCTGGATTGCTTCGATTTCTTATTGGTTAAGAATGCACTTGAAGCCTACAGGTCTAATTCCATCTTTTTTAGCTGCCACTCCATATCCTGAATGGTCCTCCAAAACACTAGTCAAACTTGGATCAATCGGGCTTCATCCTGCAAGTCTTTTGGAGCTAGGATTGACTAAAGCTAAATCTATAGTAACCCAACGCTGAATAGATATAGAGGCCCAGACAGAAGAAGTGCTCTTACCCATAAGATATAGAGCCTTAAAATCTTGGACAGGCTTTGCTCCTGCCCCATATCTTTCCAATATCATATGCAACGGCTATAGATGGGTTTTCTCTAGAGCACGTTTTGATGCCCTACCCTCAAATTTGTTACAAGGAAAGTTTTTGCGTTGGCCTAGTTCCCAAAGATGTTGCCCTTGTACAAATCTTGAAATAGAGTCGGTCTCACATGTTCTGTTACATTGTAACTTTTATGCTATGGAGAGACAGCTGTTAATTTTCCCATTGTTGTCCAAATTTAAACCCTTGGATGTCCAGTTGAAATTTGCGGAATTAAGAATTTTAAACTTTTTGCTGGAAGAACGGAAATAAAGGATTTCTTTAGCTGTGGCAAAGTTTTGCTTCCAGGCCCTTAAAAAAAGGAAGCTTGTATCTTAGATAGCGAATTGCTGACAAATTAGTGTTGTTTTGGTTGAGTTTTAATGACAATTGTGCTGCTTCTGTATCCGTTTTAATGCTTTTATATATCTATTTGATTTTATGTATTTTTGTTGTTGTTCAGTCGCACGGTCGAGTCCGACTCTTCGCGACCCCATGGACCAGCTCCCGCCAGGCCCTCTTGTCTTCTGCTGTCCTCTGAAGTTGGCTCAATTTCATGTTCGTTGCATCGCTGACACTGTCCAACCATCTCATCCTTTGCCGTCCCCGTCTTCTTTGACTGTGTATTTTATTATTCCCCTTGGAAATGTTCTATAATGGCTGGTCGCTTGACCTTATAAATAAACTTGACGTGAATTGAGAGGGAAAAAAGATCTTGGGGTTGTAGTGGGTAGCTCAATAAAAGTGTCAACCCAGTATGCTGCAGTGGTGGTGGGGGGAAGGCAAACTCTATGGTAGGAATGGGATTGAGAATAAAATGGCCAATCTTGTGGGAGGATGACTAATGGGGAACATGATAGAGGTTTATAAACTTATGCATGTGGTAGAGAGAGTTGATAAAGATATATTTTTCTCCTTCTCCCAAAATAGTAGAACTTGAGGGCATCCAATGAAGCTGATGGGCAGTAGGTTCAGGACAGACAAAAGGAAATACCACTTTACACAGAGAGGGATTAAAATGTCGAATTCGCAGCCAGAGGGCGTAGTGATGGCCACAGGAATCAACAGCTTTCAAAGTGGATTAGATAAATTCATGGAGGATCAGTCTACCGGTGGCTACTAGCCATGGTGACTGAAGGGAACCTCCACATTCAGAGGCACTAATCCTCTGAATCCTGGAGCCAAGAGGCAACATCAGGGGAAGGCCTCAGCCTCTTTGCCCTGTTGTTGGCCGTCCAGAGGAACCGGTTGGCCACTGTGTGAGACAGTATGCTGGACTAGATGGACTATTGGTCTGATCCAGCAGGGCTCTTCTGATGTTCTTATGAGATTTGAGGCAAGGCAGCGGATTTTCTACAAGACTAAATTGGAATTTCTCAGTGTAATTTAATATTTTGGAACAGTAGTAAAATTACTGTTTGATATTAGCGTTGATTATCAGTGGGTATTGTAGTGGGATATTATTGATCATTATATTCATACTTCCCTTACCATATATGAATTAAAATTGTCATTCACACTCAAACAGGGTTTGCCCTGTTTGTCCTATGTATGCCAGAGGATAAATGGACACAAATTTGACATCAGGAATCACAAGACTGAGAAACCTGTAGAAGAACACTTCAGCCTTTCCGGACATCCAACAAATGACCTCAAAGTAGCTGTTTTACTACAAAGGAACATCAGGAACAGAATGGAAAGGGAAATTGCTGAATTACAAGTTATTTCAATACTGGAACACAAACCTCCCCAGGAATTAACAGGGGTATTGGTTTCTAATCTCATTACATATTCTAACTCATTCAGTCCTCACATAAGTATTCTCAACAAGAAGGACTATGCATCTTCTGTATTTTAGTGTATTTCTTTTTCAGAATAGTATATTAGAATACTGAATGTAATGCAAGGGATACTGGTATGTTTTGCTGACATACCACTGTACCCACCTCAAAAAAGAAAGAAAGAAATGCTGTTAAATTACCTTCATGCCTGAGAGAAGATGAATTTGTTGTTGTTGTTGTTGTTCAGTTGCACAGTGGAGTCCGACTCTTCGTGACCCCATGGACCAGATCACGCCAGGCCTTCCAGTCTTCCGCCGTCCTCTGAAGTTTGCTCAACTTCAAGTTCTTTGTATCTATGACACTGTCTAACCATCTCATCCTTTGC